GAAAGTTTCTGATACAGGGTGAAAAGAAAATAAAGTGTCCCGATTTACATAATATAATTCACACTTTTGTGGATGTGGGCAGCCTTGAATGTTTTTGGAAATAATGGACGCGTCTAAACATAAAAGTTTATTCAGCCACTTCTCAACGGAGTCATTTAAAGCGTATCTAATTGGTTCTTCTAGTTTAATTTCTCGAAGTATGCGACCACCAGCTGTTGCACCATTCAAGGTGAATGAATCTTCATTCTTAGCTTTTCCATCACGACCAACAACTGAAATTTCATCAGAACCACTAGTTCGTCTTTCTATTCCAATGAAACCTTTAGATTGCTCACGAAGTTGTTGAATAAGTTTAAGGGAAAGTGATCTACCAGTACCCTCATAACCATTGATAGTTGAAGCCATAAATACCAAGTATGGTCCAATTAGACTTTTTACAAAAGTAAGAGGAATAGCAGCCGCTTCATCAATCACTACTAATTCGGCCTGCCCAAGAACATGTGCATCCTGCGGCTGAATATACTGTTCATATGGTCAGTATGATTACATAAATAGAATGATAGTATTACAAGAGAGATTTACAAAATATCTTTTTACTCACTTGAATAGTCTGCCGATGTTGCCTGAAAATATTCACCCTGACAATTGCCTTGTTAAAATCGGGATTGGTTGATTGAATTATATCATAATCTAAATGCTCTTCATATCTTAAAGCATCAAATCCCTTAAATATAAATTCGAATAACGTTTTCAAATTTTCAGGACTGGGTGATGTTACAAATATATTTGAATAACCATAAGCAACAGCAGAAGCGATCGCAATTCCAAGAGCAGCAGATTTACCACGTCCACGAGAAGCAGTAAGAGTAACTGTATTTCGTAAAGTTTTTTCGCTAATTGCTTCAATAAATGTGAGAATAGCTTTGGCTTGATCCAATGTTTTTGCAGTTGATATCAAAGAACCAACAGGCTGTGTGTCTGCTAAAGATATTTTCAACTCTTTCAATTCAATTTGTGATTTTGTTAAATCTTCTGAGGTTTTTAACGGTAATGGCTTAACATTTTTACCAGCTGAAATAGGTAAAACATTTAATTCATCATCAACCACCAAACAATTTTCGCATGATCCAAGTGAGAGAATGAAACGTTCATTAAACCGTGCAGTTACATCATCATAAGCTTCTGTCCTATAACGCGAATGTACGTCCTATTGAGGCATAAATACGTTATTAATTATTAGAGAGATCAAATCGATAATTAATATAATAGGGAATAGAGCAAACCATAGTTAATGTGTATAATTGCTTTAATGATTTCATTGTTTTTAATAATAATATGACAATACCACCGCCTTCTACTGTCTCAATAGTACGTGCTAATAAATTAGGGGTCAATGCCTCAAAGTCCTAAAAATAGAATTAATTTTATAAATTTATTTATTTGAATTAAGTGAATAAAATTTTCTTTAAATAACAACAACATACCTGCAATACACACATTCCATATGTATTACCCAAAATTTTATGTGTCTCTTTATAGTAAGTATACCGAATATTAGTTACGGAAATAAATAACTCAAATGGATCTTCGGTATTAGCTTCTCTTATGCCACGTTTAATTTCTTTTTTTATCTTTGCCTCCCTTTTCTTACGATGACTGATTAATTGAAAGAATAATAAGTTAATGGATGAAACTAAAAAAAACTAAATATCCGGATAAGGGTATATCTAACCTAGAAAAGCCCAAGTCTTTCTTATAACACCATAAAACTGAAGGTCTTGCGGTAACTTGAGCTTGTGAAAGTAACCAATGTAAATTTACCACCTAATTATAGAATTAAATTCAATTACTAGCTTATATGAATACAGGCAAGCTATTAAACTAACTTACTTGGTCTTTGCCTTTGTCACCAACAATGACAAAGAATGTTCGGTGTTTATTCTGGACGCCATTTTTTACTAGAGTAGGAATTCTTGAATCTATCGCTTTCTTAACCATTTTGCAAGAACGCGTTTTTTTTTCTTTTTTTTTTTTTTTTTTGGCATAATTAATTTTATTGGTCGATCGGATCTAATCTACTGATTTAGTAACGCTGCTGTTACACTACTGACTTATAAAGAGAGTCTCCAAAAAATTTTAAATTTTTTATCAAGATGTCAGACGAGGTCGTATGGCAAGTTATAAATCAACAATTTTGTTCTTATAAAGTCAAGTAAGTGTAGTTAATTCTTGTTATTTGAATTTTATTTATTAATTAATTGTTCAATATCAAATATTATTTCTATAGAACTGTAACCCAGAACTTCTGTCGAAATGAATATAATGTTACAGGGTTTTGTAGTAGGCAGTCATGTCCTTTAGCTAATTCTCGATATGCAACAGTTCGGGAGATTGATGGTGTTTAAATTTAAAAATTTAATAATCATTTTTATTAATTTCGCTTAATCTTTATGGTTTTAATTTTTTTTTTTCTTTTTTAGGTATCATTTATTTATACAAAAAAGTTCCAGAACGGGCAAATATGCCAGCTAAAATGTGGGAACGTATTAAATTACCAAAGAATTATGCCAAGGCATTAGAGCAGGTATATACAATTAACAATATCTTTCAATTCTAAAATTTCTACAAGACGCTTACGATTTGATATTCTTGTTTGACAAATAAACTAAAGATCGATAAGGATTTAATGTATTGGCCAAATTTTTTGATTCATAAATGTAAGCAACGCTTAACTAAAATCACACAATATTTGATACGGATGAGGAAATTAAGATTAAAGGATCGGTGATTATAAATATTACAACTTTTCAAATTTCAAATTTTGCAATTAAAAGAGAACTAATTTTTTTTCTAATTCTCGAAAGGGTAAAACTTGTTGGCATTAAAAAGAAGATCGAAAGGCGCGAGGCTACAAGAGAACGAAAAGCAGAGGCCGCAGCGCGACTAGATAAGGCTATTGAGAAAGAATTGATTAGTCGTCTAAAAAGCAAAGCTTATGGTGACACACCGCTCAATGTTAATGAAGAAGTATGGAAGTCAGTATTGGAGAGCGATAAAGTCGAGGCGGAAGATGACATGACTAGTGAAAGTGAAGTTGAAGATTTGGAGGGTGAACCTGAATTTATCGAAGATGACAGTGAAATTGAATTAGAAGACCTGGAAGATATTCTTGAAGAAAATGAGCACCATGAGGTATATATGTGTTTGATTATAATTCATTATCTTATGATATATTTAAATTTTATTTCAATTCGAAGAAGGATGAAGTAGAGAATAGTGATGATGATTTGCTTGAAGGATTTGAAGAAGTAGATGACGAGATAGATGATAAGGAACAAGAAATTGAAAATGAGGTTGATGGAGAAAATAAGGTATGAAAAAAATTTGGAAATTTGTGAAATTTGTGTAAATAAACTCCAACTTATTTTCCTTGCATTAATAGAGTAAAAGAAGAGTTGTTAATAAAGATCGGCGACCGAAAAAGAAAAAACGTAATTGTAATTTTTTTTTTTTGTTAATGATAACTAAATATTTTTATTTACTAATTAAAAAATCTTTTCGTTCAAAAAAGGTGGAACGTACGTGGAAGTTGAATATGAACACGAGCACGAACATTCTATTTCAAAAGTGTCCAATTGGTAGCTTTATTAATTATATTGAATATCTAGATCTAAGATCTGAACAAATTCTATTATCTATCTAAATATAACTGATTTTAGAACTTTACTTGTAAAGTAAATTAAATTCTATGGTACTTAATAATTCTAATTTTAAAAAGGTCAAACTCAACAAGAGAATAAACCAAATAAAAATAAAAAAATACAAAATTATATTAACGTTTTTAATCTTCAACAAAAATGCCAAATGGTTCTTGAAATATTTTTAAGATTAATAATTAATCCAAGACCATTGGATCATCTTCATTATTTCCCGAACCTTTTGTCACTTTATCCATATTAATTATTTCTTGAGCTTTTACATCGGTATTCAATCTCCAACACCAAATCGAACCATCATCACAAACTGTCACAATCCATTGTCTATCTTTTGAAAAATCCAATTGTCGAATGGTGCTCTCGCATGAATCTGTATCGAGAATAGTCGGTTTCTTGATAACAACATATTCCTCTACATGAGAACTACTTTCAGCTGCTAATGTTTCGGTATAATCACTAGACTTTTTATTAACTTTAGTAGTACCGCCTTTCTTTCTTACAACAGCTTTTTCTTTCTTCGTTCCTGAACTTTTCGACTTTTTCTTTTCGATGTAATCATCAATATAATATGATACATCTTGCAAATCCCATAAATAAATTTGCCCGACTTGATTTCCTGTTGCAAGCATTCGATAATCTGGTGAAATCCCAAAGCGAAGAAACCAAATATCACAATGATTGAATTCAAATTCACAGATTATATCGAAACTCGTTGGTTGCTAGAAAGTTTAACTCGTTTTGTTATTAGGTTATAAAAAGAAATTATCGGTAAATTTAGGTTTAATATCAAATAGTCTTACTTTACTCGGGGCAGCTGGTCCACCAACTACTACTGTTGCAACGTTAGACTTATCGAACGCCACTAATTCAACATCTGGTTTCCACAACATAATTGTCGTGTCTGCCGCACACCTTGACATTAACAAATCACCATACCATCTAACACAGTCAACGTAATTATTATGTAATTGAGTTGTTGAGAATATAGGAAAATGTACAAACACCGGCATTGTTGCTGTACCATGAGACGAACAGCATTTTTGTTGTGGCGGTGGTGTTTGTGGTGAACGAGATGACGATGATCTTGAACTAAATGACGACTCAATTGTATGTTTAATTACCGGCGTACATAGTGTCCATATTTTCACTGCGTGATCCATCCCAGAAGAAACCAAGAAGTCACCAGATAAATGCACATCCTAAAGGGATTCAGATCCTTGTAAGTATTTCTTTTAAAATAAAAGTGATTTGTCAGTGATGAATTTAAGAAACATTACTATGCTTAAAACAGGTTCACGATGACCACACTCTCCGCCAAAAATTATAACAGGTCGCATCGTTTTCAAATTCCACAAACGTATAGAAAAGTCTTTGCTTGCAGAAAAAAGAAGGGAACGATCTTTTGGATGAAATTTAACCTCATTAATTTCCTAAATATCCGTAAAGATTTCTTTAATGTAATTATAGGAATTTACAAAAGCATAGAATTTAATCAAATAAAATTATATATCGAACTTGCATCACCGTGTCCTGTAAGAGCCTGTTTATTTCAGTATAAGGAATTCAAAATTAATAAAATCCAATTTATATAAACATTCATTTCTTAAAGTAATACCTTCACGGCAATTCCAACGCTTGTGTTTAAGATTTTGAGGATTCCTGTTGCGCCAGCAACAGCAAGCAACGGCGCTCCAACGTTCGGATCAACAGACCACGCACAGCAGTAAAAATTTTCCTCTTCCTAAAACACAATAAATGTTTCAAAATTATAAAAGTATGAACATTATACATAATAAGAATTGGTAATTACATCGTCATCCACATAGGTTTGGACCACGCTAAGTGCTATAGGTTTATCCCTATCGAAACGAGCGACTATAACCTAAATAAAATATATCAGTATTTCAAAGTTGCAGAAATTTCAAAATACGCGTTGAAAGAAATGTTATCTTACATTACGTCCACCAACAACCGCAAAAATAGCGTTTCCGTGAGTGTCATTATTGTTGAAACTCACCCCATAAAAGGAAGTTTTCGTCGGTTCCTTTTCTTTCACGAGTGAATTTGCACAGAAAGTTACAGTTATACGCGTTTTAATAATAAAATGAACCAATTCTTTATAAATAACAGTTACCGTCATAGAATGTTTCAAGCGATATTTTTCTGGTTTCGACATTTTCCTTAAATGAAAATAAAACGAATCGCGTGGAGCATAGTTAAAAATCCATTTATTGGTCCGATTTTTTGAGACGATCAACATTAATCAGCCAATAAAATTCAATAAATATTGTGTAACATAAAATTAAAAATTTATCGTTATCGAAATAAAAAAATTAAATTTTTTTATTTCAAATATAATTATTAATTATAAACCAAAAATTTACATTTCAAAATAAACCGATACACAATTTTCAACAAATTCTGTTGAAATTTTATAATAATTATATAAGATTAAATTAAAATTAAAAAAGAATAAATCAACTTACCTAATATCCTTTTCTTTAATTCTATATCAATTTCAACTTCTCTTGATATAACTTCGATATTATCTAATTCTTCTTCATGATTTTGTGTTCGAAAGTCTGTCCAATTATCAATATCTTCATTTACTTGTAATCTTTGATTATAAGATTGTGATAATTCTTCAATTGAATTAGAAAGGTAATTATAACAATGTATACAATATAAGCCTAAAATATGAAAGCAAATTTAATGATATCCATGTCCACAAATTAATATTTGACCATTATTCCATGATATATCCATACATCCTGGGCAGTCACATAGTTTATTAGTTACTGGTTGATATTTTGAATGATATCCTAATGGTAATACACCAAAAGAAAATCGCGTTTCAATACCAGGAAAGTAACAATAATCTTTTTTAATTCTTGTTCCTTCTTTTTTTTAATTCAACTCCATTAGGATTTTTCCATAAATTATTAAAAAACTCCAAGTGAAAAATAGCTGATAATTTAATTAAACTATTAAGATCTTTTTTTGAATAGGGATAATCACATTTAGGTTCAAAAGACTTTACAAAGAATTTTCATGTCAACAATGATCTATGAACAATGCATCTCTTCTCAATGATTTTCTAGTAGATACTTTTATACTAGTATGATGATGTAATAAACTATGAAAATTTTCAACTGGATATTCATCAAAAATGTTTAAATGCATTTTTAAAGTATCAAGTATCGGATGTTGTATTGCTTTCCAATAAGAATATCTGACAAAAAGGCAAGCATAATTTTATCATAATTATACCTATGAAATCGTTGCATGACAATCCAAAGGTGAAATATAGTATCAACATATTCTTCAAATTTGTTTTTTTTAAATAAGTAAGTATATATTTCTAAACTTGCTGGTATTAAATTATCCAACAAATCAAGAAAAGTAATATATGAAATATCTTTAGATATTCCAAACTTTTTTACAACATATTTTTTAACTAGTAGCCAGCCTTCATGTGTTAAATATAATAGAAGGTTTATTCTCCATGGTTTAGGTTTTGCCGCCAATTTTTTAGTCTTTCCAAAAACAGATTTATACATGCTATTAAAAAAAGAATAGAATGTAATAAATATAGATTCACGTGTATTGAGTGATACATGAAGAGGCTCTAAAAATGGAATTAGATGTGTAATTTCATTTGGATTAGATGATTCCGATTCCAATTTCAATTTATTTACAATTACTCTTCTTATAAAAAGTTGGCCTGGAAAATTAGCTGGAAGTGAGATTATATACTTTTCAAGATATCTTTTAATTTCTGGTAATCTTAAAAAAAAAAGATAAGTTAGTTGAATTTTTTAATTATAATTTATTTATATACCAACCTAATAAATGTATTAATAGCTTATAAATGTTTTCACTTTCAAAATTATTAGTTTCTTTTTCATAGAAGTTTAATTTGGGACAATGATTTTTATTCTTGATAATATGATTCATTGTATAAACATGGATGACATAAGAACAAATCCTATTGAGTAGTTGAAGATGTAAGAATAAGGTTCGATTCATTATTTTTAATTAAATAATATTAAAAACTCAATATATACTGTAAAATTAAATGCATACAAATACGTTATGTTAACAGGATTGCTGTTCATTAATAATTTGGTTTATTTTTTCTTATACCTTTATATACTTTACTAACACATCTAATAACTCTTTGAATAGTGTAAAATGAAATATATCAATAACCATTGTTTATTATATTTGTATTTTTTTGCGATAAAAAAAAGAAAATTTAAAAATTAATTTTTGGAACAGAACGACTCTTAGGGCCGGTTATAGACATGTCAAAGAGAGAAAGACAGTATTTTTGGTCCGGACCTGACCGATCTGTCCTTAAAAAGATCATTCAGAATCGACTAATCGCGATTTTCGTTTCCCAAGATTTGACTCTAAGATTCGATTTTCGATTTTCGATTAATCGAATATAATCGATCGATCCATTGAGTTTTGTGCTTGAGAACACCTAAATTGATTAAATTCGAAAAATAAAATCAAATAAAAAATAAGGGATATTCTTATACTGTATATGCGAATTAAAAAATAATTAAAAAATGTTAAATTAAAATATTAGAACCCGCAATTATAAAAAAAAATTTTTTAAAATAAATAATTAATTAAAAAAAAATGAACATTCCTCAGCGTTTTTTATTTTTTTTGAATATTTAATATTCGCAATTTTTTTTTAGTTTAGGTAGAATTAAAAAAAAGAATTCATTCGAAAAATAAATTAATAAATTAAAAAAATCAATTAAAAAATCAATTAAAAACATTAAATTAATAAATAATAAAAAAAAACGAAATTAAATAAATAACTTACATTTAAAAAATCATTAATAAAAATATAATTTATCACTAAAAATTCAAATAAAATTTTTAGATTCTCGTGAAATTTTAAATTTGACACTGTCACCCAGTTTTTTTTTTTTTTTTTTTATATATTAAATTTTTTTTTATTTAATATTTTGTATTATATTTCGTATTACATTGTTAAATCAATTTACAATCCTTTTCTTAAAAAAAAAAAAAAAATGCCGATAATCATTGTACATACATGTGTTTAATTCTAAAACAGTATTTGAATGGGAAGAGCTTAGTGTTAATGAGGATATGAATATAATGAATATAGGAGGAGAATTTTTAAAGATGTTGTAGTTTATAAATTAAAGTCAGAACTATTGGAAAAGAAAAATTGGTTTGTTTGTATTACATGCTTTCTACAATTGATCATAACGCTTGACATCAAATGTTTCAATATTATAAATCGATTCTCTCTACAAATATTATTATTATTTGAAATCCAAATTTGTTTTGCAATTTTAGATGAACCTTAAAATCCTCAGTTCGACCAGCCCGAGAGATAAGTATATTTTTGAATCAGGCCACACATTAAAAATGATGTCTTAGTTTCAGATTTCTTAAAAGGTTTAGAAAACTTCAATTCAATCATCTATGTAATGTAAGTGAGATATTTAATTCTTATAATTTACTTTTAAAAAAATTGTTGAATATTGAAAAATAGAAAATATTATAATAACGATAAATGCAAAGCAATTATATTAAATGAAGTTTAAACTAGTATTTCTACTTTTTTTATTTTTTAAATGTGGTTTACTAATAAAATCACGTACGGATCATATAACTTATTTTGACTCAAAACTTGTTTTAACCTGAAGAAAAAAAAATTATATATTTATTCATTCTAGCTAACAAAAAGTTTTTTGTATATAATATATACGAATAAAATAAAAAACCCAATTAATGTAATGTTAAATGTAATCGAGTTAACATTCGAATATTTATAAAGTGGTGAAATTCTGAGATGGAAAAAAAATGGAATACTTATTTTTTTAATATTAAAACATTAGGTTTTATATAAACTAATTTCGAATTATGATTGATATGTCCATTTTCGAAAAACTTCTATGAAATTTGTTATTGGCAATTGGAAATTAAAATTTGGTATATATTCCATAAAATCAATACATTATTGATTACTTTGATTACATTAAATAAAAATTAGTTAAGAATTTTCCTCCTCAGCCCAATCCGATGGATTTATATTTATCATCAATGAATCATCAATGCAAGTTCTTGATGAAATTACTGTGCTTTCTGATGAAAGTGTTGAAGAAACTAAAGAGCTTGAACTTGCTGATGCTGGTGAAAGAGTTAAGGAATCAATTGTATCTGGCAACAAAAGTGTTGAAAGATTTTCTGAAAATAAGGATTGGATTAATAATTAGTAAAAAAAAAAATAATAATAATAAAAAAATCAAAAAAAAATGCATAAATATATTATACCTTCATTTTCTATATTATTATAATTTACTATTAACTTCTTCAATACCTCATAAACATATTCAACAGTATGTCTATTTTCAGGTTCTTTATCCCAACATTTATTATATAATTCATAATATTCATCAGGAGTCTCTTGCACTCTTTCCTCCCTATTTCCTGACAAAATTAAATAATTTATAGTATGATCACGTTTATTTTCAAAAGGAGGTTTACCGCTTGATATTTCCCATAATAATACTCCTAAACTATAAACATCAGAAGATTTTGTATAAGGACCCGCCTTTAAAACTTCGGGAGCAACATATGGAAGTATACCAAATATACCGTCATGTAGATTCGTTACTGTACACATACTTTTTGAATTACCAAAATCCGTAATTTTTGCTTTTCCATGATGAACTACTATATTTTTAGCATGCTAGAAATGAAATTTATTATTAGCAAAACAACAATAAAATGTAATATATAGAATACAATAATTCTTAAATTTACTTACGAGATCTCTATGCAAAATATTTTCTTTATGCAAAAAATATAATCCATTTGTAATATCTAAAGCCAATCGAAGTTTTTTATTCCAATCAAGACTCAAAAATTTTTTTGAAAGATACTTTCTTAAATCCCCTTCATTAGCACATTCCATAACGATACAATAGTTACCATCTAAACCTAAAATAATATAAGTTGTTCAAAAGTGATAAAATAAATGAATATTAAATCTCAAAACTTACTTTTACTTATTCCTAAAACTCGGATAATATTTTCACAAATATGTGCTCTACTTTGTAATTGTATTTCATGTCTAAATGCTTCCCACATCTTATATTTAATATCTGGTGTAATAAATAATGTTTTATATGCTACATGTTTATGAGTTTTAGACCAATATGCTTGATGCACTGATCCAAAATTTCCTGCTGATAACATTTTATGAGAATTAAATTCGGACCATGCTATTGATTTAATAACTTTTCGTTTAATCGAATCTTCAATCCATTCCTTTGCTTTATTTTCTAATTCATCAACGGATTCAGCCTGTGATATGTAAATATTTTTTGGAACTAAACTTTGAGAAAATCCATTTTGTTGGTAACTACCAATTAATTCATTAAGTTCATTGAAAATAGTGGGAAAACTTGAACGCTCCCGTGAGTCATGATGCCAATCTAAGTAAACAAATTTTTAATCTAATACCTTTCTTTTTTGAAAAATATTTTTAATATTATATTAAGCTTACTATTTTTAATGATTTCAAAATATTTCTCTTGAAAACTTTCATCATTATTTGATCTGCTTTCTAATGTCTCCCTGTACTTGTTTAGAACATGATTCTTTATTTTATGTACATTCCAACCTTTATAAGGAACTTTTTCAAAGGCAAGCTCCCACATTAACATACCAAAGCTACAAATTAAAATATATTGTATTAATAATGGTTATAATTTATGTTAACAAAAGGAGCTTGCAAATACCTAAATGCTTCACATTTTACATCATATCGATGAAGTTTAAAATATTTAATTTTTTCTGGGGCCATCCAATTAATAACATCGTCTAAATTTGGTATTGATTCATAAAAGGTTTTTTTAGGTTTAGAGACCCCATCGAACATTATATGTGCGCATTTAAAATTTGTAATTTTAGGTTCTAAACGTGCTGTAATCATAATGTTTGCGCAACGAATATCATGATGAAGAATAGAACAAGAATGCAGAAAAATGATGCCACGACAAATACCAAGAGCAATAGAAACCTAAATAAAAGAATAAAAAATTTTTTATGAATATATTTTTTAAAAAAAATTATACATTACTTACCTTTGTAGTCCATGAAATATCATATATATTATAAACATCACAAAGGTTTCTTAATTCAGCCCATTCAAATATCGTTACCAATTGATCATCAATATGGGAGAGTCCATAGAATTTCAAAATGTTATCAGAGTAACGAAGTTTTTCTAACATAGTAAAATGAGCTATAGTTTTCATGAAATCATCATCTTGGATTATAGTGGGAGTATAAGCTACGTCTACACTAAATTTTATGGACTTTTTCACAATCCCACAATCAGTTGGTTTATCTCCAAGAGGATCTGTAAGTTCATGTGGCTCTATTGTCGTTGTTTTAATGGTCTATATTCAAAGAAGAAATAATTAATTAAAACAATCTTTATCTAAAAATAAAATAATTTTGAAATAACTTGCCGGTTGATCAATTGTCGTGATGTTCAAGTCTCCCATAAAGTTCTCAAAATTATTAATCAATCTATAAAATATATGTGATATTGTAATTATATTTTTTGTAATATCCTGTAATTGAGAGATATCTTTTATAAAATCCCTGATTTCTTCCATTACTTCAATAAATTTTACATAATCTATAATAAAATTGCCAGTAGTCTTAATAGTCTTAATAGCAATTTCAGCCATATCAACTCTATCCATTAATACATCGCAAATTTTTTTGTTATTTTGAGCTGCTTTATAAATTTTATTAATTTCGCGTATTTCTGCGTCAATTGTAGTAATCCAATACTTTTGTAATAATTCAATAGCTTCAGGATTATAAGCTAAAACAGCTAATCTTAATATTTCATGCCAAGTGGTACATTTTTAGTCACACCAAATTTACCATTAATATATAAATCGCCTAGATTAAATTGAGCCGTATTATTATTATTATCTGCAGATTTCGTAAGATATTCAATAAATACCGGTAAGTTAATTCCATTATTTTCAATTAAACTAAATGCATATCGTAACTGTGCATCTGCAAATCCGTCATCAGCAGCTGCTTTAAATAATTTTGATGCTTCTTCTTGATCTTTTTGATCAGAAGAGTTTTCCCATAAATAATATCCTTTCCAATATTTGGCTTTGGTATTACCCAACTCTGCGTGTGCATTAAAACATTCCCATGCTGTCGCATAGTCGCTTCTTCTATAAGCTTTAATACCTTCCTCAAGTGACATTATTTCTTGCACAGCACTAATAGAGAATTCCATATCAAAATCTGGCAAATCTAACCCTCCTATATCGCTAACGGAAACTGCTTTTGATCCATCCAAATCTAAAGGTTTAAGGGCAAGTGAAGAATTGTACCCTGAAGAGCAATGTGTTGTATATAAGTCGTGTAAATTCAAGAAAATTTGTTGTAATGAAGCTCGAATTTGAGGATCATCTTGCCAAGCTAATTGAGGTCAAAAAATTTATAATTTTACAAATTTGCATCAAAATATTAATATAAATATATATATGGATCTCTTACCCGAAACGATAATTTTCGCATAACTTTTTTGTAGGTTTTGAATATCAGGATTTTCTCCACCAAAAGTAATCTTTTCTCGTTTGTTAGACAAAACATGTTCTTTTATTTGATAGAAATCCCAATGCTCGTAAGGAATTTTTTGAAAAATCAATTCCCAAAGAAGCATTCCAAAACTGTTTTTAAGAGAATTTGATTTAATAATAAACTTTAAAAAAAAGGGGGAAGAATATTTAATAATCCCACCTGAAAATATCGCATTTCATGTTGTATCGATAATTTCTCATGTTCTCGGGAGCAAGCCAATGCATAATTTCAGTCATATTAGAAAGACAAGTTGTATTATCATCAACAGGACGTGAGTATTCTAAATTTGCAATTTTAGGTTCCAAACGCGAAGTCATCATAATGCTTTCACAACGGAGTTCTCGATGAAGCACGGAGCAGGAATGTAAGAAAATGATTCCGCGACAGATACCAAGAGCAATAGATACCTTAAGAAATGATAAAAAGTTGAATTAAAAAAAATTATAATAATAAAAAATCATAATTATAAACCTTTGCAACCCAAGAGATTTCGTATGTATTATAAACTTCGCGTAGGTTTCCATGTTCGGCCCATTCAAATACCATGACCTGGTGATTTTCGACATAAGAAAGTCCATAAAATTTCAAAACGTTGGGAGAATAACTGAGAAGTTCTAAAATAACTATTCTCGAACTTAAGTTATCATTTCTGATACAAGCGACATCTATACTTTGTTTTAAGAATTTCCTTATAGGATAATGTTTCCTTTTCTCACGACTATCAGAAAGCTCATTTGGTTCTATTTCTTTTGTTTTAATAATCTCAACAGCCTTCCATCGATTCATATCAATAATTTCTTTTATTTGATTATTAATTAATATAACGTCTAGATTAATTTGGTTATTACCAGTAGTAATACCACCTTCAATCCTTTCCAAGAACTATATTAAAAAAAAGAATTATATTTTATTTAAAAAAAAAAATGTCCACAGTTTTATAGAATAACTTACTCTGGACATTTCGACTATATCTTCATCAAGAGCCTTCCGGTCAATTTTACGCTGTTCTCCATTGTCAATTGTCGTTGTGAAATTCAAAACGTCTATAATGATATCAAAATCGTAGACTAAATCATTAAAGGTATCTTTAATAGAGGAGTGTAAGAATTTATTGTAACCCTTTAGTTGGGAGACATCTATAATAAAGTTTTTAATTCTTCTCATGATTTCAATTAATTTTATAAAAGCTAAATAATATTCTTTATTACGAAGAAGATTTTCCTTCCATTTTCTTCTCTTTAATATATAATCAACTATTTGAACTCTATCCATTAAAGCATTACAAATCTTTTTGTTATATTCAATATCTTCATAAATCGAAAAAATTTTATCAATAATTGTTGTAACAATCGCAATATATGGTATATAAGGTTTAATGGCTTCTCCTAAAGCTCCTACAGTCTCTAAAGTTCTTTGATTTTCCATAGCTCCTTCGGTTCCTTCAGTTCGTATCGTGTCTACATTTGCTTCGGTACCTACAACTCCAACAACACAGTCGGTTCTTTGAGTCCTCATAGTCTCTACGGTTACATCGGTACTTACAACTTCTACGGCAACTTCAGTTCTTTGCGTATCTACAACTCTCTCAGATCCCATAGTCTCTGCGGTTTTATCGGTTCCTTGATTACCCATAGTCTTGGTTCTTTCGTTTACATCACCTTCGGTTTCTATAATTTCTTCGGCTTCAAGAGCTGCCTTTTATCAATCAAAGAAAAGAATGATAAAATATTGATAAAGTTATAGAATTATGAATAAAAATTTACCTTTGCCATTTCGGAAGAATCTTCAGTAAGGGCTAGTTGATCAATTCTGCGCTGCTCTTTATCGGTGAAATTCAAATCCTTCATCACGGACTCAAAATCACTAACTAAACCATTAAATTCATAGAATTTTTTGTAAAATTGTAATTTGGAGACATCTTTAATAAAATCCCTAATTTCTTTCATGACATTAGTAAACCTTGCAAAAGTCAAATAATATTTCATGTTGCGAAAATTTTTTTCGTTCTCTTGTTTCCTTCTGCTTAAAATTTTAATAAAAATTTCAGCAATATAAACTCTATCCATCAAAAAACTACAAATTTTTTTATTATTAGATTCCACACCATCATAAATTTTGATAATATCATCAATCAAAGTTGTAACAACCGCGATTAATTGTAAATATGGTTTAATGGCTTCTTCTACGGTTCCCGAAGCTTTAAAAGCGGTCTTTGTAATTTCGATACTTTTGGAAATTTCTGCTCCAAAAATAAATTCTGACATCCTTATCTTTTTTTGGTTATTAAATTATTTAAAAAATACAAGTGGGCTGGGCATTTATTTTATAATTTTTTTTGGTGTGACATTTATAATAATCAAATACCTAAAAAGGTTAACAAGCTAAAGTGAAACATACATATGAAACAAGATCATCTGATACAAATTAGATATTAACATTAAGTGTGATAAGAGTAGATAAAACTTTATTTTTATAATATGGCAAGTTCATAATTATGCTTATGTTATTTATTATATTTTTGTTATTCCTGTATTTTTGAGACTGAAGATTTAAGACAGACTTTGATGGTAGTAATGATTCAAATTGCTTATAAGAAAGAATGATACCATAGTAGAATTATTTATTAAGTTAGAAATGTAATTAGTACAATCTTGAGCTATTCTTTTCGCCAGATTGGTAGCAGAGCAGAGTAGTTGTTTTAAACTAGTAAGATGCGTGATGATTTTTAAATATTCATCATGCATTTAAAAATGTACAAAAACAGAACAGAATAGCATAATTTACGATTTATACACATAAAAAAAAAATGGTTAGCAGAAATGCATGATGTTATCTATCCTAAAACTTTCTTTGATATTTTTTGCTATTGAATTGATGCATATGCAACGCATTTAACTGCGTAAATTCACAGATTTCAGCATTCAAAAAACGAAAAATAAATTTATTGTATTAGCTGTTTCGTTCAAATTTTTTTTTTACTTGCATGAACTGGACATTTAGATATTTTTTTATTGTATGAACTTGGAATCAGTATGTCCGCTTCAGTTATTTTCAGACCAATTTCAAACCAACTATTATTTAATATTTTTTTTTTATTTTTTTTGTTTTTAAAAATTATTTATATTTATATAAAGTTATAGTTGCGTGGCAAAACCCTAAACCCATTTGGCAAAAGTCGAAACTTTTCAGAAATTATTTCGACGATTTCGATGAGTTTCGACAGTTTCGATGGGTTTCGATGGGTCTCAAAAGTTACGACAGTTTCGATAACAACTTTGCGAATTTGACGGTTTAACAAGTTTATTGTAATACAATGTAGGATATAAAAACGATTTTTATTTTTTTTTGATTTTTATTTTAAATTAGAACAAAGTTTCCAAAATAATACATTATTTTTCGAACAGGTTTTGAAATTGGAAGCACTGTTACTTGTTGAAGAATTAGAAAAAATTACCTTATGAATAAGATGATAGAGGTTGGAACCGGGTTTATTTTATATCCGGATTTATTTAATTTTAAAAATCGGATCCGGATTTAAATCCGAATATCGAATCTCTATACACCCTGCGGATATCTGGGTTTAAATCAGAATGTCGAATCCGGTTCCAACCTTTAGATGATTTTTCAAATGAAATTTTAATGGATAAAGTAGAAGAAAATAAGAATATTGTCATGAGTTTAAAACTGTACTTGATGATCAATATGTAAATTTTTTGATTTTTTTTTTTTTTATCTATAAATATATGATATTATAAAAGAAAGTGATCTTTCGTTAAACGAAAATAATAAATTTTTAAATTCAAAAATTTGTATTTTAGTATCAGAAGGTTTCGATGGGTTTTGCCGTCCGTCGAAACTTTTGCCACCCGTCGAAACTTTCGCAATTTTGCCTTTAATAAGAATATTTGGCAAAACGTTTCGACGGGTTTCGATTTCGATGCAACTTTATATAAAGTACTTTTTTAAATTCTTTTTATTAAATTAATTAATAAATTGTTATAATTTTTAATATGTTAGTTTTCTCAAATATGACAAATTTTTTCAATTGTATTAATTTTTATAATTTTTTTCGGTAAAAAAATTTATCACGTGTGTCCGAAGCCCAAAGTTATAGGTATAGTTTTTAATATATATGGAGGATTACATATTTGATGCGTTGGTAAAGAATGTGAAAAAGTTTTTTTAAAAAAAAAAGTTTTCTTCACAAATTTAGGTAAGTATGTTATTATGACCTAATGCAATGCCTGAACCAAATGTTTGTTTATAACAATGGTAGAACTCGTTTTCCTGATTCGACATCTTATTGATTAATGATATAAAAATAAAAAAATATAATATATATATATTTTTTTAAAGTAAACTACATACCTTTCTCGGATTTTAAGTCAATTTGATAATGCTATATCATTCCGTGCAAGCAAATAAAAAGTTAAAATATTTGTCGAAAACACGTGAAAAAAAGTAAAAAAAAAAATAAAATGGTGTATTATTAATTCTTTACATCACACATTGCGTGTTAGGGTGCTATTAAGCCCAATTTACAATCTCGTCAGTCAGATGTAATTTTAATTTTTTGTATCCTTAGCGTAACAAAGTATATTCTCATTTCGTGTCTTCTATCGAATTAATTTTACATTATAATCGGAAGTATACCATGGTTTCTCGCAATGACACCAACAGTTTGATTGTTATATTAAAATTGAAACTTAGATTTTTCTCAATAATAACCAAGTTTCTCGATTGGTAGAAGCACATGTGGGAGAGATATATTTGAAGATAACGTTATTTATAATCTATAATTAATATATATACCTTCTTTAGGCTAGTACGATCTATTTCTTCATCTCGCATGCGTCTACGATCTCTGGAACGCCTTCAATCTCCAGAGCGAGACTTATCCCATTAAAATTCTTGTATTTTTTTCAATAGTACGAACTATTTTCCATTTAAAGTGAGAAGACATGTATTTCAATTTGAGTACTATCTTCAGTTCCAAAGGGAGTGGAGGAAGATGCAGTACTATCATCCGTTTCGAAGGAAGTGGAGTAAAATCTTTATCGTAAAAGAAGTTCATTAAAAACTTTATTAAATGGATATTTTGAGTATTGTCACGCAAAAAATTGCAAATACCGTTTTTACGTTCGAAGTTTTATGTATCTGATCTTAAACTTTAATTATTCGACCTGGGCAAATTTGTTTAAATATAAATGGATTCAACTGATTTTTTAATCAATATTTTGTTAAGGGGATCTCATTCAATCACTAAATATAACCTACCGTATATATGAAAAAAAGCTTATCGGATGGAATGTAATTGATTCACAATAATCATTTCAAGTGATTTCCAAATTTTTATTTGCTTTTTAACATAAATATCCCTTTTCGAGTTATGATTATCAGATATTGAAATGATTGATTGACTTTTTATTGGATTTCTCATGATTTTATTAAAAAAAAAATTTAAGGGAACTCGGAGGCACGGAGAATTAAATTCGATCACAATGAATTTTGAAGGAAATAACGATTAGCAGAGTTTCGTAACAAAAAAATTCTAACTTAAAAAAGTGGAGGGCGTGATTAAAAAAATGTCGTAAAGGTTACGTAGAGGAAATCTTGCATCACATTTAAAATTTTCCCGATAAAACTTTTCTTATAAAGCACGCATGAAATTGTTAACTTACTGATAATATAGAAGGTGAAAAGCAGCGATAATGCCGACACTTATCAAAAGGTAGTCTAGGACCACGCTCCCTTCCTTTTGTTTTTTTTTTATATATATAATTTTCCTTTTTCTTTTTTTCATAAAATAAATAAATAAATAAAATATATATATAAACACAAATGGCCTTAGTTAAAGTGATACATCTGCTGGTCAGTGAAATCTCCTGAACTAAAGGACCAAAAATATAGAAAGAGGTATCCTCTCGTTTAGTACTATTGGCAAAGCTAGAAAATAGGGTTCGCTTGTCCTATGTCCAATTTGCGTCGAAGTGCTTCTTCTAGTTTCTTTTTTGTTTCTTCTTCTATATGTATTTATGCTTCTATATTATCAATAATATTAGGAAATGCTTAACGAAGTCGTACGCTGAGCCTCTTTTAGGACTGAAAATTTATAAGTTGAAACACAACAATAACGATGATTATTATCAAGAGGTAATGGATATTTTTAAAATCAAATGAGCATCGCCTTCATTCTGATGATTAATTTGACTAATTTCATTGGTTGTACGCTTCGGCTTTTCTATGTTTACGCTCACTTCCTTTATTTTTATTTTATCTTATTTTTTTTATAAGTTCCTTTTTTATCTTCAATAAAAATATATATAAATATATAAATACAAATGGCCTTAGTTAAAGTGATACATCTGATGGCCAGTGAATTTACTCCCTTAACTTAAGGACTAAAAATATAGAAAGAAGTATCCTTTCGTTTCGTATTATTGGCGGCAAAGCTAGTGGGTTCGTTTGTCCTATGTTCATTCAATTTGCATTAAAGTGCTTCTGCTAGATATTAGTATAAAAAAAATCACCGATTATTTGTACATGATTTAAAATTACACAATGAAATTTTTTTTTTTTCAGAATTTAAATTACAAAAATCATTTGGATAAAAATTTTGATATTTTTAATTTTAAAGACCCTGAGAAATTCTGATGTTTCATCAAATATTAGTTACAGCTCAGTCACTTGAAAATAGGAGCTTTTGACTCTGTTTTTATTTTATTACAAAGTCTACTTAGCCGTTGGCACTCGGCTGAACATTCAATAGTCTTAAAGTTTAGCTTAACGTAGTGTTTAAGTGATCAATTTACTACTTTATCTTTTGATCTATGTAATGCGTAATAATGTGACGATTTGTTTTTGATTTACTCAGAAAATAAAATTCGCTGCGAATGGACAGTTTATGAGAACAAACAAAACTTTTTTTTTTAATAATAATTGACTAAGCGGTTCGAACTGAATGTGTGCTTAAATAAATTAAAGCTTCCAAATATTTCTCCTTCAAACGGTTTTGCAGGAAAATTTACTATTTATTATTATAAATTTATTACTAAGATCAAAGATTTATCAATTTATATAAAAAGCTTAATAATAATAATAAAATTTTTATATTTTTTAAATTACTTCCAACAATCAAAATGTTTTGGTGTCTAGGTGATCAGTTCTAGATAAGTTTAAAAAGCCTTAATTTTTAATGATGATGATTTACGTAACCCACCATTTAAACTTTTACTTTGAAAAAGTTTCATACCATGACTGTTTA